TCTCTCAGGATCCTTGCAACCCTTCTTCGGCAACTGCCACTCCTCTCTTTCTCGTTTTCTCTTTTTATCCATACTCCTCCGTCACCAACGCCAACGAACCCATTGTTGACCGATCCATAGTGAGCGAGAGGGGGACAGAGAGAGAGAGAGAGAGAGAGAGAGAGACGAGTTGGTAGGAGTGGAATAGAAAAGAATCATTACGAGTTAAGTACCTAGTCATCGAGCTATTGCTTCACGAGGAAGTTACGAGAAAATGTACGTCGATATATAGGACAGGAGATTCTAAAAATCTAGATTCGAGACGAGTTTTCTTATCCACACTTTTTCCTCTTATACGTTCGTACTTTGTACGAGTACTTCCTTTGGAAGTGAAAAAGTGGGTTTATCCCTTCTATTTGGATTTCTAGGTGAAGTCCTTTCCAGGAAAGTTTGCAAAATAATTTCAGGCTGTAGATATATCTCGAAAAAAGTTGCGATTGTTATCTTGAAAATAAGAACGGCGAGACACACGGATAATAAATGTCTATTTCGTGGAAAGATCGAAACGATGATCCATTTTGTAAGATTCTTAGAAATTGTTCAATGGTCATGAAGAGAAACTTGTGTTCTTTCGATCAAATCTCGAATAATGAGAATCGTTCGATCGATCGATCGATCGATCGATCGATCGATCGATCGATCGATCGATCCATCCTCTAATACGTTTCTTATTTCGTTGTAAGGAGGTTGCGAGTTTTTAGCTGGGTTAGATTCGCCAAGAAGGTTTTCTTTTTTTTCTCTTTTGATCGACGATCAAGAACTAATTTGGTATTCGTGAAAACGCCGAGACGAGACTAGAGAAAATCATTGTATATAAGTAGCTAGCTGAGCGGACACGTTTGCGTAGGTCCACGGTAAAAGGTGGCTGGTTCATTGGTTCTTCACAACCGGCTGCTATTACTCGTTCGAGGATGTAGCTGCGCATCGAAACTTTTACCAGCTTTCAGGGAAACGAGTAATTGCTTAGCGAGAGAGCGAGTGCAAATCGATTTCGACTCTTTTTATTTCCATCCTTTTGCATTTTTCGCGGTCAATATGCAATACACCAGCATATCCAGCCAAGAAACCATCGTTTGTAAATATATAAGAAATAGTCGTTGGTCTTGGAATGAATTTGTTGCGACGCCTATGAGCTTTACCAAATTAGTAAGCTCGTTCTGAACGAATCTAAAGAGAAAAAAGGAAAAAGAATGTGAAAAATGTCTGGACGATAAGAAAACGATGTCTTTTCGTCAATCATTATTCGATCGAAAGACGCGATAAATTTGAATACGAACGAGTACGTTCACATTGGAACAGTAATTAATAATGTGACTTGCGATCAACAGCGGTTAAGTCACACGCGTTCCTCGTGACGATGGTGCGCTCGCTCATAAGACAATTGACAAGTGGCCTAGATTCGAAAAATGACGATACTCTATGACGCCTCTTTTATTACTCCTTCCAACGATTATTCGTCGTTATTCGACGAGTAAGTAATCACCTTCTCTTTCTCGAACAACGATTACATATTTTTTGATTGTATATCTATAAAATTATTAATGTCTCCCTATAATGCACCTGTTTCTATTTCTATACCCGTGCGATTCGAGCTGGTGTAACAGAGATATACTTTTAAATTCAGTACCTTAATGAAGTTGTGCCAGGCAATTATATAAACTCCGAGGTAGCCGTGTTGAAACGAATATCGCTCTACTTCATTAATAATCTATCTTTTCTTTTAATAGTTAGCTCTTCGCGAATGACGAAACTTTGAACCAATTTTCGCACCTTTTCTCGTCTAAGTTATCTAAAATGACAAAACTTAATATAGGATATATAAGATCGAGAGAATAGGTACATTATATCTCTAGGAAGCAAAAAGCGATCTTAGAATTATCTGCTTATCGTGGTCGTGACTGTTGAGACACTTGTCGTCGAGTTCTATGCGGCTGACTTAATTCCCTTCTAACTGACACCCATAGCGTTATAACAACTATCCTCACTGATTGAACGATTAGAGTCAAGAATGTATTTGCAATTTTCTTTGATTTCCGTTCGAGGAATCGAAGAAACGATTTCAATGTTTCGAGCGTTGGCGTTTACGACGAATGATAATTATTTTTCTTCTTCTTCTTCTTCCTCTTCTTTTTTTCATATTGCTTACTTTAAACCGACAAAAAGTGGACGTTAAGTTTTATAAATTATCTTCGATTATTATCGAGAACTCAATCGTACGTTTGAGTATAGAAAGCGATCAAAGAATTCTCACAAGATCTATAAAACATTTCGACGAATCGAAGGAAAAGAGAAAAAGAGAAAAAAAAAGAAAAAAAATAAGAAAGAAAAAAAGAGTTTAAATACCCTTTCGCCCGTGAGAAATTGCAACCTCGATCTCGAGGAAAGAAGGAGGACCGATAAAAAGTGTGTTGGTAACCGGGGCGAGGGAAGGGGACGAGGAAGTTGCCGAGTGAGAAGGGCGAAGGAGCGTCAGCAGCTGCTGTCCTAAGCCTATTCTTTGTGTGCTCCTGCAAGTTGGCAGGTGTCAGAACGAGATACATCTGCTAAGCTGCACGCATATCCTGCGACCGTGTTTTCGAGAGACCAAACAGGCTATTCCTACCTTATAAACTCGTCTCACACTTTCAGCGAGATTTCATGTACATGCGATGCAGAAGCAAAATCCGATCACCTGCTATCAGAAACTAACGCGTGCTGCCAGATGTCTCGATGGAGCAAGAAGAAAAAAAAAACAAAAAGAAAAAGAAAAGAGAAACGAAATTGGGAGAAAAGATGCGAAATCCAAAAGAGATTAAGCTCTCTCTTTCTTTACCCTAGTCAAGAGAATAATGATAGGCTTCGAAGTTCGACCGTGGGTGTCTCGCTTTCCTTTTCTTATTCTTTCTCTTTCTTTCTCTATTCTCGTCGATTTATAGGCCAGTTCTTTTTCTTCTTCCTGTTTTCTTTCTTTTCTTCTTTATCCGACCATCTCTCTTCTTTGTCCAACGGCATCTGTCCAAACCTCTTCTCTCTCTAGTAGGCTCCAACCATGTGTTAGTTTCTCTTGAATTTTCCAGGTCGAAAATTTGAAAGTTCTCGATATCTTCTTTCTAGGGAGGATTTACCCTATTCTACTTTCAGCTTTTTCTCTAGAGAAATTTACCGAAGCACATGTTTGGTTTAGGAGGAAGCGTGGGACGTCAAGGATTCCTAAGGATTTACTTCGATGAAACTCGACATGGTTTTGTTACCGAGCGAATTATTTCATAATTCTTTGTATCTTAACATACTTTAGGTATTTGAGATCGATCGTCTTGCGTTCACAGTTTTCTTTTTTTATCGCTTTGTCATATGAAAAGACAAAAATCGTTTCGAAATCGTTGTGGTTGCGAATAAACTCTCTCTCTCTCTCTCTTTGTCCCTCCGAGTTTCGACAAAAAACGTATACGTTTCTAACTAGCGATTCGTGATCGCGTAGCACACTTTACGTTTCTTGCAAACTTAACGGGAACAACCTTGCAGTTTGCACAGAAACGTCGCTCTGAATCACGTGCTCGGTTTGACCTAAAAAAGAAACATGACTACGCGCATACTTCATTATTTCTTCAATAATTAAGACACCGTTGGAAAACGGAGAAAGAGAAAGAGAACGATATATTTTTAATTAAGAAGTAATCGTGAGTTCGTACGAAGACAATGGCTCGTGAAAGTGATCTACAAGGTTCGTAGGGGCATGAACATCGATCGGAGATCATTAAAAGAGAGAGGAAGGGGTGAGCCCCCATGGCTTTCTTTCGTCGCAATTCTTTCACGACTCCATTGTCCCGGTGACTGTCCTAACGGAGCTTCTTTTAACGCTCCTTTTAATGGTTCATTCGAATCTTCGATTCGATCTCGTTGTGATATACTTGGCGTCTTTGTAGACTATCATCGTTTAAATATCTCGCGACAATCTCCTCCTTCTTTGTATATATATATTTTATTGTGAAATATATAAAGGAACGTTTGTGAAAACGGTTTCGCTCGTAAAAGACTTCAATGAAACTGATTCGCGATATATATATATATATATATATATGTACGTTTGGTAAACGTACGTTGACCTATACGATTTAACGGGACGGAGAAACGGCCGAACGATTTGACATTGACAATGTTGACGGTCGTAGAACAAACGACCGTCCCGGACATTGCCCTATGGTTTCCGGACACACCTGTGTTTTCGTTCCAAATTAAATCGCTAAACGGATAAATACGCTTGCAAAGATTTACTGTTTTCTATTCTTAATATTATCCGTATAATTTTTTTTTATAATTTCTTTTCCTTTATATTTTATCGTTCGTTCATTCTCTTCTAAAAATAACGTATCCGTGTTCCGTTTTAATCGCTCGTAAAAGTGCAATATCATTTACAGAATAGAGATAAAGTTTTATTCATTCGTATAGCTGGTATACGCGGCCACAGTAGAGTACACAGCGTTCTTCTCCTCGTGAAATCTCCAATAACGTCCATGAACCGGCGTCGTTCTTAACAGGCTTTAAACAAGACGATCATTAATTAGTCGAACATTGTTTTGAAAATGCACCGACAGATCGCCCGTCACATGGCTCATTTGCATTCATTGTTTTCACTTTATTTATCGCGTGAAAGTGTTTCCTTTCGATGCGACCTTTGGCCTGTGTGTTCCTATGGAGATCATATACGTTACTACTTCTGCTCGATACAGAAGAAAAATATAAAAGAAAAGGATGAAAGGAAAAAAAAAGAAAAAGGAATTGTATCGAAGAAGGGAAAACATTGTTATTGATAAGAATTAACGTCGAGAGTAGTAGTTCGCAATTGAAAGACTCCATAGTTGAAAGGTTAAAAAGCTTTCGAGCCTCGAGAAGAGAAGAGAAGAGAAGAGCGAGCTTTAGAAATGACGCTGAGATACATCGGGGGGGGGATTAAAATTAACGAGTCCATATTTCATATGTTGCAGAGTCCCGGAACGCTGCACAAAGATGTCGACGGTGCTGGTACCAAGGTCAGTGGAAAGACGGTCGGAGGTGTCGGCACGGCAACCCTCACCACGCTCTCCTCCATTAATAATACATCCAACGCCACTCGAAATAAGAACAATCCGGTATCTCACGAGGTAAGAAACGAGACTAGAGAGAATTTTGTAAGAGCCAGAGGCGATTGTGTTCAAACCGATCGCGATACATCATCCTTGGACAAGAAAGCTGCCGGCCACGTACTCTGAATTCTGATAAGAGACTTTCGATAATTAACCGGTTCTCCATGTTAATTTATCACCGACGCAACGCTTATTCGCCTTCACGATGTATTGGAACGAGGTCGGACTATCCAGCTCCTTTTTTGTTGTTTTCTTTCTTTTTTTCTTTTTTCCTTTTTTTTTATTTTTTTTTTTCTTTTCTTTTTTAGTTTTTATTTTTCATTTTTTTTTTTTTTTTTTTTTTTTCCAATCGTCTATGTATATTATATATATATATATATATATTAATAAGAGACATATGCGTGTCAGTAGTTGCGTGTAAATGTTATCTAGCGCATGCACTCTCTCATACACAAACTCTACAAGTTCATAAGTTATTTCATTTTAGTAGAATTTTAAAAATGAATCTTTCCCTCGATAAAAGGATATTCACAAGTATATAATCGTTGTTAAAGGAATCGCACTTTTTTAATCTATCCTTAGAAACGTTTCTTTCGTACCGCTGATGATTCATTGAGGAAGAAGGAAAGAAGGGAAGAAAGAAAAAAAAATGATGCCAAAAAAGAAGCAAGTTCGTCCTTCGAGCTTGTCCAGTCATAAATATCAGCGATATATATCCACGTATTTCTTTTCCCTGACAAATTCGTTCATCCCGATAATTACTTCTTCCTCGGTGGTTACGACCTCGAGCACGCGGCTATGGTTTCTCCGTAGAAAAAAAGAGAGAAAGAAGAGGAAGAAGAAGAAGAGAAAGAAGGAGCTAGGATCGCGTGGAGTCACCACGTCATTATGATTTGTCTCTTTAATATCTTTCTCCCTCCCTCTTCTTTTCTCAAAGTTATTATGCGGCAGGGACGATCGAATTTCGTTATATGCTCGACCCGTGGTCGTTGCATAACAACTATACTCGAGTCTTTTTGCAACGTGCAATTTTCAGGCATCACCTGGTACGTGGAACACACACCAATCCACGTGAACCTCTCATACACGAACATATGTGGAAACGTGTACGTAAAGAAATATACAGAAGCTTGCCCACAACGGCATATTGCATTTACCTCTACGTATGTATTACGTGGGTAAATATTCATCCATCCCGTGTACCTCACAGTACCGGGCAACGTAGACAACCGACTTAGCTCGTACGTGCGGTTTATCGGACTTCTCCGAGCTAATTCATACGTGAATTTAGAAAGTTTCTTTGCGGGATTTGCACCTAATTGTTGCAGCTTGCGCAACAACGACCGTCCGTTCCGCGAAAGTCCTCTCTCGTGGTACTCGCTCGCGCTCGCTTTCTGCTCCTTTTGTTTCAAGTTCTCGATGCTTACTGTATATATATCGTACTACAATATAACGTAACAATAACAATAACAATGATATAGGAAATTCTCTTATAGCGTTACGTTACATGCAAATCGCGCGTTGATGCGGTATTACGAAAATTTTCTCTATCATTTCTGAAGCGCGCGTCATCGTCATTTCGTAAAGCTTAGTCGAAATTGAGAGTGAAAAGTTTTTTTTTTTTTTAAATAATGTGAGATACATTGATAAGAAATACAACTGGCCAATAAATGGTCGTACGGTCGAACCTAGATGGTTTCAGGGGAAAGGCCAATCGTTCCGGTGGCAGCTATCTCGTTATCGTTATTGGCAAACCGACCGGTGTTTATTATCGTTTATATACATACGTAGATAACGAAGGGGAAAAGAAGTGGGTCGATCGTCTGGCTTTTAATCGACATTTTATCTTTTAATTCTCAGATTTTTGGTCAAATCTTTCTTTTTTTTTTTTTTTTTTTTTTTCTTTTATTTTTCTTTTTTTTTTTCTTTCTCATTTATTTACATTCTTTTTAAAATGCTAGATAAAATAATTCTTGTAAATGTATCCTGCAATAACTATTAATTAGTTTTGTTCAATGATAAAGGATTCGAGATACATTCGCTCGTAAGATGAACGATATAATGAAGAGAAGCTAGGTGTATCCAATGATTCGAATTAAAATGATGTTTCTAATCTTATCTTGAATACGTAAAATCTTTAGTAGGAAAAACGATCGAAATGAGATTATTTTATACGGAAACCGGATAAACTGACTATTTCCGTTGGTGGGGCTTTTCGAGAAACCCGATCGTGACTCATAAATGCGATTTCTCTGACTCGAAGTCTCTTAGCTTTTCGAAGCAAGGAAGATAAGGGAACGATGATCCACGAACGTTTCTGCGAGTTATACTAATCAGAAAGTCGTCGTTGTCGTCGTCTCCTTGAAACGTCGGATCGATCGGACATACGATTCTCTTTTGTTCATTCCATGATTCTTACTCGAGGAGATAGCAACAAGAAGTTTTGCTTACGTAAACTAACAATGATATTTGCGCCTTGCACGCTCCTCTCATTACGCGAGTATCCTGCTTCGTTTCTGGCCGCAAGAAACTCACGATTCAACGTGAACGTTCCGTTTTTTCTATTCTTTTCTTTTTTTTTTTTTCACATTTCTTATCCTTCAGTAAGACTATATGTAGTAGACTATTGTAGTAAATTCTACACTAGTAAGATCGAAGGTGACATTTTTTTGATTATTAAACATTCGTTTTACGAATTTACACACACGTATACACAGTATTAGAATCATACATTTTAGAATGATACAATAAATTATAGGTAGTTTTTCGAATTGATGTATTTCGCATCGATATCGACAAGTTTTCAGTTTACAAATTTTTCTTTCGTTTTTACTTTACGAACACTCGGCTTTCATCATCATCGAGACGATTGTTATCAAACGAGCCACGAGTTTATTAAACTTCCTTTCCGAATTCAATGTAAGTCGGTCGAAGACGATAAACGCTTGACCGATAATCGAGCTAGCTTACAATATTAAGCTTTATACCCTGACTAACGAGGAAAATTTTGCTTACCATTTCGAAATAACTGCTTGCTCGGTAAGAAGTGCAAAAGTTGCATCTCGCTCAACAACGTGTATTATATACAATTTAAAGAGTTTCCTTTAATTCGTCGTATCTTTAATGCTCGTTATCACGCTCGATCGATCGAGCACGAGTAGATCGTGTTGCTCGCACGAAACTCGAGTTTCATTCTTTATCTTTCGATCGAGTTACGATTGGAACTTTCACGATGTCGTCGCATCGTTAAAGGAAAATTCGATTATTTCCGTTCCTCATAAATATACTTTATCTTTTTTTTTCTTTTTTTTTTTTTTAAAGAATACGATAAGAATATTGAAAATTTCTCTAGGCTATATCGCACGAATATCTTTATTTCAAGGCAATTATCGATCTCGAACGACATTTTATCGTATCGAGTGAAATAAAGAATTGAAAAATGTAATGTAAATAAGTCACAGAATGTTTACGAAAAGTCTGCGCGAGTATAGTCGATGCGACATTAATAAGAAAGAAAAAAAGAACACTTGATACGGAAGCTGTTGCGTCTTTTGATATCAACGTCACGAGAGAGACCACAGGAAGATTCGAAAAGAAGAAAAAAGCTGGCATTGCTGGAAGAAAAAACACTCGCATTTGTGTCGCTGTTAATGCTGACACGACAACAGTCTGACACTGTAACTCGATCGCTTGACATTGTATCTCGCATTTCGCAATAATATAAATACTCTACCTGTGGGATGGGCCGACGTTAACGATCCTAGATGAAAGAAACATAATTCTCGTGCTGTTCCGCCTTGTGATAGCGCCTTCTAACTGTTAAAACGATCCTTTCGATTCAACTTTTCTTCTTCTTCTTCTTCTTCTTCTTCTTCTTCTTATTATTATTATTATTATTCTTATTATTCTTATTATTTCTCTTCTTCGCTGGTTTTTATTTTTATCATAAGAATAAAAAGACATCAGTATTTTTCTTTCGATCACGAGGCACGATCGATCACGTTGAAAGATAACTTGAAATCGTTAGCGATTTACATACTTTTTATTTTTTTATTTCAACTTTTTTTCCTCCGAGATTTATGTCACGATCGATCGGAGATCAAAGAAGTATAACCGGGCATACAGAACATATCCAAGCTTTCCTCAATAATTCCTTCAAAACGAAAGACACTAGTAAGAAGTAACTAGACGAGCGCTAGTTAGATTAACAAGAGCTTTCTAAGTTACTTATCTCTGATTGTGAATATCTACCCAGCGCCAATAGAGTTTTTGAGCGTGTGAACGTAACACAGCGAGTTAAAATACACGCGATTAGTTATTGACGGGGTTCCCGTTCGTTCGATCTTCGAAGGCGAAACTCTTTGACGATCAAGAATATATACTGGATGTTGATTTTTTTTTTTTTTTTTTTTTTTTTTTCAAAGCTTTGTAATATAACCGTATGTGTGTGTGTGTGTGTGTGTGTGTGTACGGATGTATTATAATAGATATATGTAGGAAATATATAAACACAAACACGAGCATCCTTTTACCGTTATAACTCTATACGCACTTTGACTTTATGCGCCCGTGCATATGTGGGTCTCTGACTATGGCCATGCACTAATGGAGATATTCATTTCTTCTTTCGATTACAAGACTGTCGTTGTGAGACCGCCATTATATCTCTGTAGATACATACGTCTAACTAGTAGAAAATACGCCTATGTGCGCCGCGTACTCTTTTTCTACTTAAGTGTGTCTCTCCCTCGCGTACCGACGCGCGCATTAACGAGCCCTCTTCTTTTCTCTTCTCTCCACTTCTATTCTCTCTTCTTTAACTCTCCGAGATTTGAGTTCTTTCGTTAACGAGCAACTAAGGATAAGAAGCATAGTCGATAATTAAATATCGGATGTCAGAAACAAGCACAAATGCAATCGAGTTATTATCATCTCCAAAATAGCTGGGCATTTGAATGAATTACAATTCTCTAGACTTCTATCGGTAAAAATTTTTTTCTCAAATTTCCAAATGTCGC